GGACAAATCCATCACCCCACCAGCCATCTCCACAGGTGCGGGCCCCCCCCTTGGCCCCAGGGGGTCTTGGAGAGCCAGGATTTAATCCCTTTCCCAAAGGCCATGAGGGAGGGGCACACCACACCTCAGGAGGCAGGATGTTCCATAGGGCGGGCGCTGCAGCAGAAAAGGCTCTCTGCCTAGACCCCACCAATCGAAATTCCTTGACTGGTGGGGTCTACAACCTGCCCCTTCTGCTGGACCCCTTATGAACAATACATTCTATTGACGATCGTCAGGGCTACTGGTACAAAAGAACTTTTGATCTGTCTGTTTAGAAGGGTTTTCTTCTGACATAATCCAGAATTTGTGAAAGCTTTATTCTTTTGTGGTGTTTGTATTGAAGATTCTTCTTTTGGCTGCCTTTGGAAATCTAAAAAATCTTGTGCAAACACTGGAAAAAGCTTCAAAAATTGATACCTCTTTTGTGAGAAAACCTAGCTTCTGCAAGGACGTGGTAAGTGGAAATTAATTGATAGAAACAGGCTTTTTTCATAGCTAAGAGTCCAGCTCATTTTTTTCATCTCAGGCAGGGATTCTCTTTATCACATCAGGACTTTAGGGGGGTGTCTCTGTGCGTGTGTGTGTATAACCAACACTTTTAGCCTTTTTTGCTGCATGCTGAAAGCACTATGAAATGTGTTGCTGATTTCTTCTTGAGCTGTTTCTGTAGCAGCTGAAGTGTCATCCCAAATGCAGCACAAATGATTTTTTCAATTTATTCTCAAGGAATAAATTGGCAAGCATTTTATGCCAGGAATAAATGTACCCATGCTATCATGGATATCTCAGTTGTTTCTCCCACATCTTGCTGAAATGTATTGCATTATTTGCTAGATTATTTGTACTACTATATACTTTTCATCACCCACAAACATTACATGTTCAAGAGAACAATCCCTGTTCCTGGTTTTTCAGCCCAAGGTAAATTACATTGTAAATAGTGAGAATTATTGCTCACTGATGCATCCTGTTTATTTATAAATAAATCACAATCTGAAAACAATTTAACAATAGTTATCTTGAAATAACCATTCACGTGAACTGCCTCCTAACATATTGATAAAGCTTTCTGAACTGGGTTACCCTTAGGAATATTTTTTTTATCTAATCAGTCCCAATTAACAAATATTCAGGCATAGTATTCTGGTGTATGTGTAATGATGTGCAAGTTTAAAACTTCTCTAGCTTGTGGCTTTCAGTTGCACAGGATAAGCATTGATGTATAGAGCTGCAGATGAATGTAAGCATCACAGGTGTTGTGTTCTTTCATAACAAATAGTCAGGAGGAATTGGACTAGGTGTGGGAGGGGGTCTTGTTTCTGTACATTTGGTAAAAGTTGATCATGATTTGGCATGGAAAAGACAGTGATACAGTTTTGTTGATGCTGATTTATTTGCTGTAATCTCACAGTTGACTGCAGCCAGGAAAAAACTTGAAGTCAATCCACACCTCATTATTCAGTTTGAAGAAACCATCACCAAGTTAAATGTCTCAGGACAGATAAATGAACTGACTCTGGATGACCTGCTGTGTGAGGTCCCACATCCAAAAGGGTACAAAATGCAGCTGTTGAAAGAACTGAAACGGAGTCAACGCACTTTACGGCCACTTCAATCTTTTCTGCTGACTGATTGAGTGCACTTTCCCCATTAGGAATTCTATCCCATAATACATCTCCCTTTCTTACAAGATTTTCATTTAGTGTGTTTTCTTGGATGAATACTGATGTTCATAAATGATATGAATGGTTTTCCTGGTATATTGCCAAGAAAATAATGTAAAGACCTAACATAACTTCAAAGTAAGCATTCTGCAGGAACAGTTAAAACAATCTGCAGGGAAAATTAGAGCTTGCCAAGCTCATCAAGGCCTTTCTTGATTCCATATTTCCATACTCCTTGGTTCCTGTTGGAGAGGAGATGGTATGGAGAAGACAGAAACAACTGTTTTTCCCTTGCTTTGTCCATCTGAGCAGTTCATTAAAGGAAAGAACCTCCATTAGATAAGCAAACATAGTGTTGGGCTAGGGAGACCCAGATTCAGGTCCCCACGTAGCCACAAATTTCACTGGGCCTTTTGGGCTATTAACACATCACATTCATCCATGGTCACTTAAGCACAATTTTGTTAGTAAACCAAATTGGCTACATTCATTCTGTATGCCAAGCTATAAACCACAGTGGCCCAAAGTCACCCAGCCAGCTTTCATGCCTAAGGGAGGCCTGGAACTCAAAGTCTCCTGGTTTCTAGGGCAGAATCTTAACCATTACACCAAACTGGCTCATGATATGACAGTATGCTATAAATCCCAATTAATATGGTTAGTTTATGGTTCATTGTGTAGTGGGAGCACAGATCGTTGCACTGATTCAGTAAATCATGATTCAGATAGACATGAGTTATTTTGCATGTAGGCACACAGTTCATGTGCTTTCAAGCAAACGTTTTGGAACCTTCTGAAAAAATGATCTGTAGAAGATTTGGGAAGCCCTTATAAAATGCCTACCATCTCTGCTCTTCCCTCCATCTATTCCCCAAGCCTGCCAATTTATAACAGATTCTTCTGCAGTCCTACATGATTTCAATTTGTCTTGCTGAGTTGGACTGAGAATCCCTTAGTTTTTAGCATGTAAACATTGTTATTTTCATGGCAGTATGTTTACCAGAATTCAGAATTGCCCCAGTACTACTAAGGAAACATTTCATAATGTCTTAATAAGGAATCATTTTCTATGAAAAAGGATCCTGAACGCTTAAAGAAGCAAGAACTGTGAGGGATCACAGTTACAGAAGCTATGCTGCTAGACTGGTAAATGTAAAAATAATACAAAACATGGAAATATCATTGAAGCTGCAATCCTAAGCATACTTAGGTGGAAATAAGTACTGTTGAATTAAGGAAGCTGGAGTCAGTCTGAACTCTATGTGTGATGTCTGTATCAGACACAAATGAACAAGATTTTGCTAACGTATGTCTCCCTTATATTTGTATATAGCAACAAAGAACATATCTCTATGCACCCCTATCTTCAAGTATTTTTTTAAACCAACTTTAGACAAAGAAATAGGAACTGAATTTTTGATTTTTCAATATCTTGTCAAAATACTGTAGAACAGACAGTAGAGGGTGCAGTATTCATTCTTTGTAAAACAATCCATCTGGTTTGAATGGGATACAAATTATATTGTACTGGGTACAATTTTAAAAATCTGTATTACCTTCTGTGTTACAAAATTAGTTACATATAAAATTATGAATGCACTGAAATATTTCTAAGTGTGAGACCACATTTTCAGGCCAAGGATAACTGTAATGCACAACCTCATAGGACTTTCTTTTGGACCTACCTCGTCACCTGCAAGCTGGGGAACAAGAGCTGGACTTAACCCCAACTTTCTACTTTTAAGAGAGAATGAAGACTTTCCTTTTTACCCAGGCCTGGATTATTTTTATTTGAACTGCAGTTTTAACTGGGTTAAATGTATTATATACTTATTAGTATTAATCTGTTAGCCGCCTTGAGCAATTTAGAGATAAAACATGAAGAGTACTCATAGAAATAATGCAATAAAGGAATAGGCCTTGCATTGTCCCATGCTTATCAAGCATCCACCAGTTATTTATTCTGCTTAAGACATCAATGTTTCACTAGGCCCTTCTTGAACATGCTTCTCCAGACCCTTCTTTTCCTCCAAAACAAAGAGAACAACACTAACACTGCTGTAGAAGAAAGGTAAAAACATACCTCAGTTATTTGTTCATCCATTCAACTTGTGGAATCCTGTGGCACCCTTGGTGGTTGTATATAAAACATCCACAGTAAGAAATAGATCAGCCATAAGAAAAGCATACGTACAGTCATTCAGAGTAAATTGTGCCAGTCACTCTACAAATGCTCTACCAAACAGTTTGAGCATCTCCCTAAAAGGAACCAAGCAGGGCGGGGGGTCAAGCCTGCTCTCAGCCAGGACACTATTCCAAAGAGTAAGTGCTGCTATGAAAAAGTAGTACCTCTGCAATTCTTCCCTGTTCACTAGTGTTGATTATGGCAGAACTAGATGGCCTGGAGATATTCAGGTGCCAAACCATAGAGGCCTTTCTAGTTCAAAACTCATGTTTTCAATTGCAACTGGAAGGGAGCCAACTTCTGCCAATGGGTTTTCATGGTAGTCATGCAGAAGTGATTTGTCACTTCTTGCCTTGGAGATGTTTTTCTGCTTCCCAGCCTAACCTACAGTGCTGCATTTTCTAGGTAACCTCTCCAAGTATTCCCAGATCCAAATCTGGCTATCTTCTGTTGTTAGCTAGGCAAGAAACTATAAATGGGATCTTTAAAACTCCAGTTCCAGCTGTACTTATTAGGTAGTCAGCTGGATGTAATTCAGTTGAATTCAAGCAGAAGTTTAGAGCAAAGGGTTCCTTCTCTGCTGTTTTAGTATTACTAATTCTTGCAATAAGGCTAGGGAACCTGTGGCTCTTTATCTGTGGCTGAGCCACAAGGAGCAGCCACTTCAACCAGCCGAGGCATGCTGGAAGTTACTCAGCAGCATCTAATGCACCATGGATTCTTCACTCCTGATGTTAGGAAAGTTGTCTATGTATAGCTAAACACATTGTGCAAAGCAAGACAAATACAATTTATTCTGTAAACCATGATTAAACGATGGCTTAGTGTGTTGCATAATCCTACTGCCTCTTCAATCAGTTATCATAATCTTGAAATACCAATGTCATTAGTTTGCAAAACTTACTATCAAGCTTTAAAGATTTCTTAGATACTGAATATTGAGAAAGAACATGCATAGCAGCAAAATCACTTGTTTTCAGCTATACAACTACCTTGAGCTACCTTGTGATGTGGATGGGAAGGCAGGTGATAAGAAGGATTAGAAGAAGGCTGGTAGAATGTAAACTAGGTTCTCTTATGACAGCTCCCTGGCTGATTTGCAAGAGTTCAGCAAAGATTTCCAATTCCTAATAGTTGATTAACACAGGAACAAAAAGGGTTTTCCTTTCTTCCTCTACTTCCTCTACTTTCTACTTTCATCTACATTAAATGAAGTATCTGTCCTGTATGTGCAGGCATTTGTACAGAGCTCCCCTTTGCTTTTTGTCCACTAAGCCACTTTTTACATATGGCCCTTGTAGACAGGCCTGGAGGTGCTAGTGAAAAGCAAAGTAGACCCACCGAGCCCAATAACAGCTGCTGCTGATCAAGGAATATACCTATCTTTTTTTTTATAATAACTTTTATTAAATTTTAGAATACAAAAAGATGAAAACTAACAACTAGAAATCAAGAAGAGGAATAGAAAAGAAGAAAGAGAGAAAAAAAGCAAAAGGAAAGAAACAGAAAGAAACAAATACAGAAAAAGAATGATTTCTGACCTTTTACAAGTAAAACATACATTAAACTCTTACTCTAAGATGTCAACATCCATTTTTTCTATAATCTATTAATTTTACTAATCAAATCCATACATCATCATTTCATTTCTTTCTGTTTCCCACAAAAAGTCCAAATGGGGTTTCCAAATATCATTAAAATTAGCCAATGTCTTTAATTAAAGCTGTCAATTTTGCCGTCTCAGCTAGCTCCATCAATATACCTATATTTTTTGAAGATTTCTAACTGAACATAACCTTCATATGGTAGTCCCTTATCCCTATTCTCATATTTTGTCACGTTGAACTTGTGGTTTTCACTCACATGGTTCCTTTTTTTTGTTTTCTTTTTCATGTATTGCTTTTAGAAGTTTCATTTCAGGTAAGAGGAGCTGATATCAGATGTTGAAGGTACTGTTAAAAGTAAAGCTGGCAGATAAGTCAAATAAAACAGGCAAATAAAATGCATAAATATTGCAGCTTAAATGTCCCCCCCCCCCCAAAATAGAATGTCTTAAAAGAAGCATGTTATTTTAAACACTGTCTGAGCATTGAGTTTGACCCAAAGGACATTATAATAATTACATAGTTATAGTAATATCATTCAGTTGGTTGTGTCCAAAGTAGCAAAAGGTGATATGTCAGTGAAAGGTCCCTTGTTTCTCCATCTGAATTGATCTCTCCCTTTCACAGTTATGGAATTACATTCACTATTCTGTTGCATCTGTCAGTTATGGGGGCACCTCCAGGCCGACTAACTTGCTGCAAGAACCCAGTGGCTTGTGTGTTCATAATACTAGCTCATTCCTGGGAAGCTGAACCAATCACTTCCTAGCACTGTCAAAAAACCCTGCACGGATGCTGTCATCAGGAGTTAAGCTTGACCCAACAGCATCTTTTATTCAAGTACAAATGGAGATAATTTATTGGAAGGTTCAGCAAAGGGTGGAGGTAAATTGAAAAACTCCTTAAAGGTCTGCAGATAAGTTCCTGACATATCCAGGTATATCCAGTTAAGGTTAAGAAATACTTCTCTATTCAAGACTGGCAAGTTGCTGTCAATCACTGGAGACAGTACTGAGATAGATCAATGATATGAAGCAGGTTTCTAGATTATTCTGCCATTGCATGTCAGCCTTTCCCAACTTGGAAGAGGTAATGAATATTGGGAATTCTAAGAGCTGTCATCCAACGTATTTGGAAGACTCCAGGTTGGAAATGGTTGATTAATGGAGTAGAGCATAACAATTTCCCAGAAACTTTGTCATTCTAAAAATAATTGCATTATGGAGAAGAAGAGAAAAAAAGCAGCCCAGTCTTTGGGAAGAATGCATTTATGTGTCAAGCATAAGTATAACAATTTCCCAGAAACTTTGTTTTGTCATTCTAAAAATAATTGCATTATGGAGAAGAGGAGAAATAAAGCAGCCCAGTCTTTGGGAAGAATGCATTTATGTGTCAAGCTTTGTTAGTTCTCATTTCAGAATGTCCAAGAAAAAGAGAACTGGAATAGAAAAGACTGATGCCTGTACAAAATCCTCTCTGTGGTTAAGCAGTTTCAGGGGAAATTTAGACCACAGAATCTATTTTGTTGTACTTTTACTACCTTTTAGAGAGGACCTGGATTAGCAATGGGGATAGACTGTGGCTTTGAAGTCTCATGGGTTTTTCTGAATATTGAAATAGGAGTTACTCTTTTAATGTCAAAAAAGAAAGCATAAGAGAAGTTTGTGACTTTGTGACCATGGAGTTTTGTTGGCAACAGTACACGCATAGTTCACTATTGCCTTCATTCAGGATGGGGGGATAGGAGGAGTTGATTTCCTAGTCTAGCCTATAACCTTGGATTCTCTGATGGATTCCATCCAAGTATTAACCAACTTTTACTTGGAGATCAACCAAGGTTGGTTTGGTGCTGTTACTGCTTAGGCAAATGGGAACAAGGCTGAAAAATGAGAATCTAAGCCTAAGTGGGTTTTTTGCTATAATTTTTAATTGAATTTTTAAAAATTATAATTACATTTTCTTAAAATGCATTACATATTAGTAACAGTAATAAATGTGTGCTCTATTTGTGTGTACATATATACACAACAGATATTTATTTATTTAATTTATTTATATATCAAATTTGTTACCACCCATCTCGTTGAAACATATAGTACATATGCATACTAAATACTAAAGGTTATAATCAGCCTGAATCAATAAAACTGCAGGATGAAGGCTTCTTCACTGAAAATTATGGGCCGTAATGTACTGGTCCAGGGTACATAGATGTTTTTTTGACTTCTCAGTGTAGGTCCGAGAGAGAATGACTGACCAAAAGTCACCCAACCAGCTTCCATGTCTACGGAAGGACTAGAACCTGAGTCTCCCCATTCCTAGTACAGCACCTTAACCACTGTACTACACAGTCTCTCATAATTATTATATAATAGAGTATATGTTTAAAAACAGAAATCTAAACTAAAGTAACTAAAAAAAAACTTAAAAGCCCCAGACAAACAAACTAAACCATTACTCAAAACAAAGCAAAACAAAACAAGATGAAAGAAAAAAGAAAACAACGAAGACAAAGACAAAAAAGGAAAATAAAATTTAAAAGCCCATTAAGGAAAATACCAAATTATTCAAATTTACAAATTATATTACTATTCTGAAGAAAAAAATTACTATTCCACAATTTGATTCTTTTAAATTAATACAAATCATTACAATTCAATTTAATTTAGACCGTACAGAGTCATGCTGTTCAATCTTGTCTCCTTCAATACAGGGCTGAGAGGCAACAAATTTCATTAAAATTTTAAATTTTACATAAATGTACATAAATGTCCTTCTAGGAATACATAAGCACCTTTTTCAAAAGAATTCAGGCATGATATACCTATCATTTTCATAAACTGATAGACTCCCAATTTCTCAATTTAGTTTTACAACGTGTTAACACCTTTGACCCTTAACCTCCTTCCAAGAATCTGGTTCACCTTAGCATTTATATCCAATCAATAAGGAATTACCAGTTAACATGTCCATGGCAAATTTATTACTTTTTCAGCTTAGAAAGTATGACAGCCAGCCTTTTTTTAAACATGTAAGCCAAGCTCAAACTAACAGATACACCAATACCTAGACTTAAACCCTGTGTCCTAACTTACTAATGTTTTTGCCATCTTTAATATCTTCTGAAACTGAGTATCTGTAAATATTAGTTCATGACTGGTATGAGAAAATGCCTCAAATGATTCTGGAATCAATTTACTAAGAGCTGGTAGAGCAGCCTAGCCAGAAATGCCCCTCGGCCCCCTGATCCTGATAATCCATGGTCACACTGGCCATTGCAGTCATATTCAGATTTATCAGTGGCAGCAAATGCACTCAGCTCCAATATGTTGTGTGCTTCAAATATGTCCAAATGAAACTGTTTTTAAGTACTAGGACTTAAGGGCTAAGACTAAATAGGTCCTGAGTCAAAATAAAACTAGCTGTTATTCAAATGGTGAAGGCAACCTGCTTTATACAATATTATAAACCACTATTTAAAAAATACTGAAATGTGTCATAGGAATCTGATCACTGTAGTTTCTAAAACAAGGCTTCTGGCTTGGGGTATTGTCCAAACCTAGCTAATTGTGGCTTATTCAATACTTCATAGTGACATAGCCATGACTTAATTTAGTACCATTTCAAAGACCCATTCTCTCTTGCAGCCCTATGATAGAAACATTTAAATGTGGGTAATTATGTGATCATTTGCTTTTACATGGAAAAATCACTGAACATAGTGGCCTGATTTATACAGCATCAAAAACTAGGATTTTAAAAATATGGTTTGTTGGCAAAACCATCATGTACTAGTACTAAGCAAAAAGCAAACAAACTCTTTGAATATGTCTGAAGTAGGCCAGTAAGACTTTCACAACACATGCTCAGTGATCAAATCTGAATCGAAGAGGGAAACGTCCATTGGTGCTTCACAAATGGATGTTTCTATATTTTATACCCTAAAGGTCAGATCTTTTAATAAGATACGACAACATGACATTTAACTGGCACATTTTCAGGAACTTCACTGAATGAAATAGGTGAAACCAATAATATATTCTGAGAAAAACACTGCATGAAATTCATCTAGGCAGCAAAGCAGTAGGCAGAGATAATCTTATAGCTAAACTGGCCTACCTAGATATTTAAATTCTCTTCCATTGAAGCTTAATCATATATTGATATGCAAAACAAATTGCAGTACAAATGTATGTAGCTAACACCAAGCTCTTCTTTCCATTTCAAGATAGGGCTGATTGTC